TTTTATATTAATGATTCTATTATTTTATTAATTACAAATTTTATCTTAAAATTTGAAGTGAGCGTCTTAAAATTACTTCACAAGCGCAAGATAAAAACACAATTAACTAATATCATGTATAAAGCGAGATTTTTAAATGTTCAACAAAATTTCTTGCGTAGCAAGAATTTCAAAATTATATTTTTGTAAATCGAAACTAATATCCAATAACTAAAGATTTTTCAAAATCTTCAAAAATTTCAAAGCTTTCTCCTATATGTTTGAAATATTACCTTCATAATAATCGCCTTGTAAATATCCTTCACATTCGCGCAATATAAGCGCTATGATTTCGAAACACCGTCGTCGTTGCAAACGCAGCATATCTCGTTTAAATTCATTGAGTATAAATAGCAGTTAACACGCTCAAATAACCCTTCTATTATATAAATCTTACGATCTATATATCGCACAAGGCATACGAAACGGCGCTGCACTGTAATGACGTTGGAGGCACGAACGCAACAAATGATTGAAGGGAACGTCACGGGCACGGTTAAGACGAAGAAGGAGATTCAGTCGTTCAATAGCGAACGAAATACAAAAGTAACGCCCAATCGCATCACGTATATCGAAACAAGTGATCGAATGGCGCGACCAATCGCTCGACTTCGTCCGCATCTCGCGGCAAACTTCAGTCTACGCTACGTCTAATAAACTGCCACGTTCATGGAGAAGGTAGAGGCGCGAGATCAGCTGTGACGGCCCGATTCAAACCGGCCGCCCGCGCGGTGCGGCCAATCGCCGCACGGCGCAGCGGTGGTTTGCATCGCGTGTCCGCCAATCGTCCGTGATGTTGTACGCGAGGTTCGTCGCGACATCGTGTCGTGCCATCGGAACACGGTCGTTCGCGTTTCCTGGATCGCATGGAACGTCTAGACGCACGGTGGGCGACCGCGCTCTCAACCGCGGTCAGGTATCGCGCGAGGACCTGCGCGAGAATTACCTGAGAATACTCGAGAAGTGCAAGTGTGAGTGGTCAACATACTGTGGCTGCGGCCATGTCAGCGTCGCGTCGATCGCGCGTCACCTCCGTGCGTGTCCTTCGCCTGCGTCTGTGTTTGTGCACTTTCGTCACGCGCAAAGGGTGCTGCTCATGCGCTCGGCGCGTTCGATATATCGATAGGACACGTGCGCTTGCGCGACCTTGACATGGCGCGCATGCCGAGCGAATTATTGGCACGCGGATCGATCGTCCTCTCTGCGAGAGTGACGACGCGCCGTTGTGCGTCTTCGCTGCGGCGAAGCCGCGACGGAATCCAACGAAAGTTCTAATGAGAGACGCATGCGATACGATTACGTATGCAACGACGATGCGACGAAATTCGCCGAATGGCAGGTCGCCAAGCACTCGACTACACGTGTCCGAGAACACTTGAATTAGCGATATTAGTGCAATTATAGCTTTTGTTTGTTGTTTACGATGCATTCTTGAAGAATATTGAACATTCGTTGACTGTATCTCCATTGTTTTTTTAAACAGGAAATTGATAGAAGATAAAAATTCATAATTACTGTACTTAAAAATTCAAAAAGAAAAAAAGGCTTAGTCTTTTAATTTAACGCGATCTGAAATGCAGATTGTTCCAATTGAAAATATGTAAGGTTTCTGCATACAATGGGGAAAAATATTAGGAACAGAAATGATTTATTAGATAAATGTAAAAAAAATTAATGAATATATTTATGTAGAAACACACAATAGATACAAATAAAAACGATATAAAACATAATCTGGATTACGTTTCGATATTCGCTGCGTACTGAAAATTTATGGGTGCGCTCCGAGTTACGTATAAAACGCATGATGTATCATTTTATTCTTCTTTATTATTTGGTGAACAACAAAAACAATGATGCATCATACATGCGCTTTATGCTTTGTTGCTCGGAACGCACCCTACATTATATGTTACATGCGTTATAGATTTTCAATACTGGCAGAATATCGGAATTTGCAGCCTTATAATATATGTAATCAGAATATGTCTTATATCTTATTCGTATCCATTGTATACATTATGTTTCTATATTCATTTCCTAATTTTTAAAATTTTTAATATTCAACGTTTATTTCTGTTTCTACTATTTCTTTCACTGTAGAGTCTAAAAAAGTCCCCATATATATGTCATTATAAATAGAAGAGATTGATGACATAAATTATGAAGCTCTGAGAAAAACGCTATTTATTTTACTTGTTTTATTAATAAGACGTTGGCTCATCATTTGCTTTTAATATACATGTATATACACACTTTAATATACACTCAACGAGTGACTATTCTATCTTGAATAGATCTAATATTGTACTGTCGCTTTAACAGAATATCATTTAATTGCTTATATAAATGATATTTGAGGAGAAAATTTTCTTTTCATTTCATTTTCCAAAAGAATTTTTTATTCTCCAAAATTGCAATTTTTCCACCTTTTTTGGTCAATCCCTGATTTAAGTATCAATTAACATATTATTACATATTTTGCAATATTTGTGGTTTTGAAGTATAGAGTAAGAAATAACACAGTTTTCCAAGAGACGTCCTAGAGACGTCCTTATTACGTCTTTAAGACGTCTTTAGGATGCTTCTAGGTTTCTTTGTGAACTGTGTTGTGCAAAGGATTTTCTCCTTCAATATCTTTTAAGCAATTAGGAGACTTCTGCTAGAAGAATGGTATAATATAAAAGAAATGGTTGCACTCTAGCAGTTGCTATCCTATTCAACTCTATTTTAACAAGGATAAAATCTTTAGATTTAAACAAATAATGGGCTAACTTTTTATTAATAAAACAAGTAGATAGATGCTTCTCAGATATTCGCGTTTTTTGTAACTATCTCCTGTATATATACATATAAATAAGTACAAGCGGTGCATATCTTATCGCTTGTAATTACAGGAATTAGCGAATATATTATTTATGAATTTGCGAAACTTCGATAAATTAAAGAAACGGGAGGTATGCCAGGAGAAAAAAAAACGGACCGGTGCACATTCACATAAATTTGTCGCGGGTGCGAAGAACACAGTAAAACGTAGTCTCACGAAATTTCAATATTAAATGCCCGTGTATCTCCGGCTGCGTTGACAAACTTACGAGCCGTAGCCTGTATTTATCGTCGCAATTGGACGGCTCGTGAGATAACGACGTGCTGAAGCCGCATCGAGCAAGTTATTTGAGCGAACGAGTGAACAGGAAAAGTACATAAATTATTGATGAGGATATCCGCCACATCTCTCGGCTCGCCCAACATTCCCGCGTCCGTCTTAATTAATTACTCTGCTGACGAAAAACAGCGTAAGAAGGGCGACCAAAGAGCGGATTAGATTTTAGATCGCGGAGATCGGTCTCTCACGATACAGACGAGAAGAAGCGACGAATGTGCCGGGCAGAAAAATCTAGGACAGTGAAAATCGGCTTGTATCGCGCGCATCTATAGAACGAAACGGGAGCACCGACGCACAAATTGATCGCCAGTTAGGTCTGGAGGAGTAATAACTGTAGTTCATTCCAATTGAGGACTCGAGCTCGCGCGAAATTAAGATCGGATGCGAGCGATACCGATCCATTTCCAATTCCCAGAGAGGGACAAAGTCCTTCACCGCGCCGTTCGCCTCTTATCACGTTAGACAGAGCTGGGCATGTATTTGAAATACTTTTCTTTGAAAAACAAAAAAAGTTAAGAGAATTGTAAGACAACTGTAATTTACATTTGGTATTTCAGCGAAGCATATGCAAATTTTGTATTTCATGGGATCATATAAAGTATTTTGTATTTTAAATACTATAATATATTTGAATTATAAAATATAAAAAACTTTTAATCTTTCGATTTTAAATACAAAATACATAATATTTTCATGTGCTCCGCTGAAATATAAAATACAAAATATACTTGTATTGCAAATACTGTGTTTTAAATAAAAGTATTTAAAATACATGTCCAGACCTAACGTTAGATTAGATGCTCAGCATCTTTTTCTCTTCAGACTTCCCGGATTAATTTTCATTGTCGTAATTTTATAGCGAAGAAATTGCCGCAAGATGTGAATCCCAAAGGCGTGTTTGCCTGCAACGAGCTCGATTTGAAAGAGGTCCAGGTCTATGGATTCGATTACGATTACACGCTGGCGTGTTACAAGCCATCTATGGACTACTTACTTTACAGCCTGGGTCGCGATATGCTTATTAAAAAATATAAGGTATCTATTTTGTGATAAATTTGCTGGATTAATCAAATCGATAAGATGTGTAGTATTTATATATGCAATTCTTTTGTTTCTTCGAATAAAATCTAGAATCAACTTTTTATAATAATTAATAAAAGAAACGTATGTATTGCAAATCTTTTTATCGTTTTCAAGATAAGCATTATCTAATTGTGAAAAATAGTTTGTGCTTTATTGAAAACTTTAGTAAAAGCTTTAGTTTCTGCTTTAGTGAAAGGTAAAAGAATTAAAATTATGTGTAATAGTTATGCAAAACTTGTCTTTTCACCTTAAAGGACAGCTCCTCAAAATTTCTCCCGAAATCAAAGGACAATTACAACTGATTAGAATTTCATCTTGAAGTTCACTTAAACAAGCTTAATTATTCCAGTATCCAGAGGGGATTGCCAATCTAGAGTACAGAGAAAATTTCGCCGTTCGCGGCCTCCATTACGACATCGAGAAAGGTCTCCTGTTGAAACTCGACAGCTTCTTGCAAATTCAATTGGGGGCCGTTTATCGTGGCTTGCATCCCGTACCCGATGAAGAGGTTCTTCGAATCTACAAGAACAGGATAATACCAATAGCTTATGTGGAGGCACCTCACAAACACTCTTACGTAAGTTCATTATCGAATAACGACGATAAAATGAGAGAATTAGAATTTGAATTATGCATAGCACTTGAAAGCTTAATGCACACACACATGTTACTTCTTTTTAATAAGAAAACGAGCACGGCATGATTTATTTAAAGCTAGTAAATTCAAGATATGAGAAGTACTTCACAATTTTTGAATATCGACGATGTGATTTATTGCGTAACTGAACAATTTTATGCTTAATTATTTTTAATCATTTTTCTAAATATTAAAATTTCTCGTCTTCTCTCTTTTGTATACTGCGGCAAAAAGAAGCAGCGATATTTTTTACGATTTGTACATTTTCATTTGTAAAGAAAAATCTTAATGTATTAAATGTCTCTCGTTCTCTGTTTTTGCATGTATCAACATGTGTGTTTTTGAACGATGAATTGCTTCGATCACGATATAGAAGGCAAGTATAATATATATTTATATTCACGATATATATATATATATATATATATATATATATAAATTTTTGAAAATATTCTAATTTCTGACATTTATTTGTTTAGGATGCTGTACATCGCTCGAAAATGGTGCAATTAGCCGATTTGTTTTCGGTACCAGAAATATGTCTATTATGTAATGTCACGGAGTATTTTCTACAAAATCACATTGATTATCATCCGGAGATACTGTTCAGAGACGTTAAGGTGAGCAATCAAAACCTTGCTAATTGCTATCATAATGAATTTTATACGATATTTATAGAACTCTGTGCAAAGTTGCCATCCTATAATGCATCGACTAGTAGTGGAAAATGTGTCTGAATACTTGGAACAGAATAAAGATTTAAGGAGATTTTTCGATCGACTTCGAAATGCCGGCAAAAAGACGTTTCTGGTCACAAACAGTCCTTTTCATTTCGTGTATGTATCTCAAGTATTAGCAATCTTAAATTAAACGAAATCTATTATGCATATAATAATTATTATACACTGATTGACATGACAGTAACAACGGAATGCAATTTCTGGTTGGCGAAAATTGGAAGAATTACTTCGACGTAGTAATTGTTCAAGCGAGAAAACCAAAATTTTTCACTGAAGAAACGCGCCCTTTGAGAATCTACGATGAAGTTAAACAGACGCAACTGTGGGATAGAGTCACTAAACTCAACAAGGGTATCATATATCTTGAGGTAATTCTCTATTGTAATGTTAAAAAATTATGTATTTATGATTGTAATATGCTAAGTAATATTGTATTAACCGTGGAATATACTTAGGGAACAGTTAAACAGTTGCAAGATATGACCGGATGGCAAGGACATCAAGTATTGTACTTTGGTGATCATCCATACAGCGACCTGGCAGACGTGACTTTAGAACATGGCTGGCGAACGGGAGCAATTATAAAAGAATTGACGGTAATTAAACAACATTTTTATTCATCTTTTTTATATGAAACTAATCTATTTTCAAAAGAATATGGATACGCTGAATTTAATATAGATATGACCACATAACATATAATACATAAATTGCATTACAGCACGAAATCGAAACCTTGAATGATCCGAAATTCAAAGAAAACGCGAACTGGCTCCAAATGTTAACCGGTCTAATTGAGGAACATCAGGATTATGAAGGACCTGAAGTACAAAATGAATTGGACGAATGGATGAGGGAACGAGATCAATTAAGAAACGAGATTAAATCTGTCTTCAACGAACAATTCGGCTCGGTGTTCAGAACATATCATAATCCGACTTATTTCTCTAGAAGACTGTTTAGATTCGCTGATATCTATATGAGCTCGATTACAAACCTATTAGAATACTCCACAAGTCATACGTTTTATCCTAGGAGAGGTGTAATGCCTCACGAGTATACTAGTTATTTCGTATAAAATGTTTTTAAAAATATTTATTGTTCTTATATATTTTAGAGCGTATATATTTTATAGAGAATAGTTTCGATGAGAAAAGCTATGTATTCGACGTCATAATATAAAGCCTTCATAACAGAGAATTACCAGTTCCGCTCACAATACTTCCGCCTTATTATTAGATATGCATGCATAATTTACATGTATATGCAATGTGAATCTATATCGATCACCATTAATGCGCTTTTACAGCCGCGTAGTTACAGGTAATCTGCATCGAAATGTAATGTATGTAAACATGATAAAACGGACGGGCGTAGAGATTACGAAGGCTGTTACGTTATTATTATTATTATTATTACCATGACAATAGCTGTATTATATAAAATGAAGTTGTAAGGAGTAAATGTACAGAATAGAGGAAAAGTCGAGTAATTATACACAAAGTATTATTGAGCTACGAAACTTATAACACATTTTAAGATTTAATAATTAAAGTTTATTTTTCGTAAATGATATAAGAAAAAGAGATAATGTGCTTTTGCGTAATTAGAACGAGATATAACTTTTCAAAAGTATATTATAAGATCATGTTGATACTCAATTATTTTTGCAAAGAGATTGTATATTTACTGTTAGTGTATTATAAATTTAAAATTTAACTTGTAATATATATTTATGAATATGCTGTATAGCTTCATGAACAAATACAAGTGTATTGCATTTGTATGTAATTCGATATTCAACCGAAATTTATAAATTAAATTAAAACTCACAATTGAATTGGCATTATTAGCTTTCTACTAAATTCTTTATTTAATCTTATTCCTCTTACAAGAAAGTATTAAAAATTAAACAAACATTTGTTCGGTTACAATTTAAACACATTTATGTAAAACAACAATTTTTTATCTTCATAAATTTAATTATATTTTGTATAAAATGACTTGATACAATCACAGATATCTTTAGCATATTCAAAAATATAATCGTTAAGATAATTGTATGTTCCAAAATGTTTAAATATTTATGAAAAATACTAAAGTATATTTATTTACTGTATGTAGACACTAAATGTATTACTGTTGCTAAATATATCTTTATTTTCAATACAAATGATGTTTCTACGTAACAAGAACAAAAATATTTTTCCGTCTCTATTATGAATATGTTTATTGATTCTGTTTTGTTTCTGGATTGCCTATACACTTTCAAATTTTCACGAACTTGACACATCAAAAAAATTAGCAATATGACTTGGGAAGACATTAAACCAAAGATTTCAGTACCAATATTTTGTATACTTACGCTTTGCACATTGCTAGCAGATATTCTAATTGACGAGAAAAAATGAGGAATAGAAAATAATAATAATAAGGTTTGTATAAATACGATTAAATTTCTAACAGCAATTATTTCTGATATAAACAAAACATATCTTGATTCCATACTATCACAATTTTTAGGAAAATGATTATTCAATCATAGTCTATATATTCATCTATATTCTAAACAGATATAAGTAATATCAACTTACTCTAATATTTACATGCATTTCTATAGAAATATAATTTAGTTATATTAATTAATTCTCTTTCTAAAGTTTTTATTTGTCTTCGTGTTTTATATAAAATAGTACATTATGTATGTTTGCCATTTTAGCACATCCCGATATGATGGTAAATGAACTGGAAATAACTCAAGACGAACAAACATTTCCAAAAGAAATTGCTCTAAATAGATTATCATCGATAACTTTTTCACAAGCTCGTAGAAATGTAATCCATGATGAGTCAACACATGATCGACAAAACACTGAAAAAGTCCATTGACATGTTTATCCAAAATTTAATATCTAAGATAGATGTTAAGGATGAAAAAGTAAGTAACATTATCGTGATATACGAATTAATTTGTTAAAATTAATTTAA